CGAACATGTGCCACTTTTTCGCTCAACAATACACACACCTCCATTGTTAGTATATTTATATGATATAAATAAAGAAATTATAGAAATTTCCTAGAAATTACCGAAATTTCTCAGAAATTTCCGGAGTAAGTTCTTCTCATATGTTAAGGTAGTTTGAAATTTTTGTTATCGTATAATTGTAAGCTCAGTAAATTCTCAGAAACTATTGAACGAGAGCTAATTAATTTCGGAAATTTTCTGGTAATTTCGTCGGCATACACTCGTATTTTCCGTAACTACTGAGAAATTTCATTCTATGGAGTTAGTATTTATGGAAATCATCTGGTAATTTCGTTCTATAGTATGAGTAATTACCGAAATTTCCTGGAAATTTCTTTATTTTGGTCATGGTTTGTTTTGAATAGTATTGCGGTAGTTACGGTAGTTTCTGATATTTTCTGAAACTTGCATTTTGTATAATTGTAGTTTCTGGAATATGAACATTTAGCAGAGAAATTTCCTTTTTTGGAAATCTACCCACTTCTGGATTTTTGATGAAAAACCTCTGTGTCCATCTGGGATCGAAAGCTCAGTAAAAATTTCGACAAATGTATTCGATTTGATTCGGCGGAATCAAATCAAATCGAATCGCATTGAGTTGGACCGAATCCATCGAAACTGTCCTGTTCAAATTCATCGCTTCTGTTATATTTTAAATACAAATAAAAGATTTAAATGTACTGACTGCCGTTGCAGTACAAGATCGTTATTCGAAGTATGAAGTTTGTGATTTCAACCTGTCACATAAATTGTCCACATGCCAGTGTGTTCATCTTAGACCATTAGAATACCCTGCCGTCATATCAACAGTGTGAGTGAAATGGCTTTACAGAGATACTCGAAAGAACCGAAGAATACTGTAGAGATAAATTGTTACAAGCACTCTCTATCTCTTTCTCTCGCTCCTCTTGTTGTCAGACAGTTTGAATATTTACATTCTTCTCTTAAGAAAGAAACCTCAAATGGTTGATACAAGCAGGCATAGCCTCCAAAATAATAAGCCGTATCAAGGGCATCCCGTCAATATGCATTCTGTGCTTATTATTATTTTCTGAGGCGGTTGAGTCAGCGGTGCTACAAGCTGTGAAATATAATTTACATACACAGTTGCATTACTGATCATTAGTGGTATTTTCATTCATTTCAATGGCTAAAGCACTCTTGAGCTCTAACGATTACTTCGCCACAGAGCCAAATGATCAGTCTTCAATTTCGTAAGGTTAGTCATTAGAAACATGATAGAGAGTATCATAAATGCGTTTTCTTTCGAGTTAGATGTCAATCGCAGTTGTTTCGAAAAAAGGCTGCCAAGTGAACTCAATATTCACTAGACTCAGCCGACTATACAACGAAAACTGTGAATAAAGAGAAAGGTGGCACAATATAATTGAAGTGCTCTTATGGAGATCCTAACATATGACACGTTCTACAGAATCGATTCAAATGATCAATTGTTCAATTTGTTTCGATCTCTGATATACATTCAAAAGTTCATTGCGTCTTCATGCATTGCTAAATATAACTGAAACAGACTCTGTATTTCAAATTAATGGATATAGTCCATGAGAAGAAATGAAATCTTTCTTCCAATGATTACAATTCGTTTTGTCTCTGTGATGCTTTATTTACTTTTTCACAGGCTCTTCGACTCTTCCTCGTGGCTCCTACACCAACATGAACTACATATGTGAGGATGTGTGGACGAGGGAGAAGTAACTTTAAGAAAGATTCGGCTTTCACTGGAATCTGTAGATTACTGTCTGTTCTCTTACTTGTTATCGGTGGACACAGTTGTCGATTGAAACTGGGCACCGGATAACAAACAGGAAGATTATTACATCGAGGATGATGAACACATCTATGGTTAGGTTCACGACAAAGGTTGTTTGAGCTTTCGCATGTAACTAGCTCAGAACAATCCACGAATTCATCGACACAAATGCCAAGATCAATAGCACCTGCTATATGGAAACAGGCGCACGCACTACTTGGCGAACATCGATCATATTGAGAAATCCCATGGCATGCTTGAGATTTCACTCGAACTAGCGACATACTAAATTAATAGCAGAACATGTAAAACAAAACAACAATCAAACCTGCAAAGCTTAAAAGGAAGATTGTGCAACATTAGATGAATAGGAAGAAAAAGATTTTATAATTACCTGAATAGAACGAATATGGAACAAAGAATTACTGTTGAAACCATCGCTTGCATTGAAATGAGACAATATAGTGGCGGTACCCGTCTTTATATACAATGAAGCAGTAATGTTTTTCACAATCGCCGAAAGTGAAGAAGTGCACGGCGCGATCTTTCGATAAATAGAAACTCGATATTGCTCCGCTGCTTTCTTAAGCACTTAATTTTTCTCCGAAAAAGTAATCTTTATAGAAGAAAAAAGCGTCGTAAAAGCAATATAGGATTGCTTCTGTGATATAAGCATTTAATAGGCTCGTACCATCATTCGAAACATGCATATTGTTATTGTCAATCATCGACTCACTGTGTAATGACGACTTAGAACAATTGCAAGGACAAATTTCGTTTTTAATATTTGTATTATTATTATAAGCAGCTTACAGAAATTTGCATCTTGATCAAATCATAGTCCCAATCTGTAGCCAGCAACATTCATTTGCACTTTGGTCTGTGTCTTCGTTGCACCTCAAAGGTTTAATTGTTCGACTGCCATCTTCACATCTTATTTTTCACATAAACATGTCCAGTTTAAGAAAAGATCTTCTACAAAAATGGTGACGTGGCTACGAATGCGGCAAAGCCTGGGATAGTTTGCGAGCAAACAAGTGATTTCAAGGGTGAAGCAGATTGCTGCTCCCTCGGCAGAAACTTTTCTGACAGCTTGTGCCCTTTCTGTGAAGAATTTTCAGTCACGACACTATTCGAAAATCATTTCCCCAGCAAAACACTCATGCTCAATCGATTCAGTCACTTTCGACTTAAGATCGCAGAGTCATTTGTCGCTCTCAAGTGAATGATGTTTAATTTTTTTCTCAACATCCTCCTTTCAGATCAGAGACTTGACTACAGAAATCTTCCTTTAATCTCACCACCATCATTCTTGTTGTTATCATTGACTATCAAACAAAGTCCAAATCAAAGATGCGGGTTGGCGTGAGATGATGCGGGAGTGCCTATCGTTGTAAGTGTGTGAG